TTATACCACGTGAAGCAGCAAGACAGAGCTGGATCCCAGTAACATTTAAGGCGCGCTTACGGCCATAGCTTCCCGCATTTGCTCTGAGCCACTTACGTAATTCAGAGCTTCGACCTCCAGGGAGGTAAGTCGCGTCATTAGATCACTAGAATCACTAGAAGCAGTGTCTCGCGTCAAACCAGTCAGGGACAAGCCGTTCGGGCCCAATGAAACACGGCACAGTCAACAAACAGTGATACATGTCATTTACCTTTAGATTTCATCGTCTAAGTGCCTTGTTGTGTCAGACACCTCATGTACGGAGAAAAAACTCGTGTCACGGCTGTCTGGTGAGCAGACAAGCACACATGGTGCTTGTTGCCATATGCGAGGCGTGCAATCCAGTTCAGTTACTTACGCCTGGCTGGGCGGAATGCCGCTGTCAGATGGCATTGATGTGGTTGGTTCTGGAAGCTCGGAGATTGGCCGGTGTGTGCTGTTTAGACTATGGCATGCTGCTCCCACTACATGCATACTAGCCATTTCAGATGAGCATGGATCGCCCTGTGCCCCCTGTCAACCCCCGCTGTGCGCACTTTTTTACATTCATCTCACAGTACGCCCTACGCAAAGCCCTACGGAGAGGGCAATGCCTTCCCTAAGAACTCGAAAACCGACCAAGCTACACCCATGGAGAAAAAGTGTTGGAAAAGCTCTTGCCAAACTCCATGAGGTAGTTTTAACTAAACGAAGGTGAAAGTAGCTTTGACAGGTTCAAGAAAGTCATATCAATCAATTAACACGTTATAGATCCCTCCTGTTATCTTCAGAACAATGCATGTCACGGTAATGAAGAAAGAAGCGTTGAACAACTCTTGAATTGAAATGCCGAAATCTCTAGCAGGTGGGTACCCGAAGACATCAATCATCAAGTGTGACCTGTCATGTCATGTGAGGCCAAAGCTGTTAACGCTTATGTTGTATTGGCCCGATCGGTTATATTAATTACGAAGCAAAGTTAATCAAACGGAGAAAAAACAGCGCTAGAATAAACCCTTGTAATACTGGAAGGCATGCGCCATTTTGGTTTAGATAAAATGATCTTCGATATGCCAATTCTGGCTACAAGTGCTAAGTCGACCTACATTGACCATGGACGGCCCGATCTTTCAGGGTCGGGTCGTCCATTGGCAAGCTCGGTCGACTTTAACCTTACAGGAGCAATTGCTATTATTGTAATGCACATTAGAGGGATAAATATGTGAAAGTAGTCCAGAAAAACGCATTTCCTGCGAGAAATGAGCGTTAGCTGTCAATTTTGATGATGCTACCACTTACATGACCTCAGCGAAGAGGTCATGTGCCATGAACTGCCGCAGTTGAACAGCTCCAAAGCTCTGCAACATACACAGAAATGACTGAAACTCAGGCTCAGAAAATGTCGGCGCAAAACTGTTCAGAAGATATTCTTAAAAAAACGCAGTTGGAACGGCCCTTTAAGTAAGAGGCCCTTTACGAGGCCCTTTAACAGGTCGATGGTTATGATGCATAGGGCATAATATACATGATATAATGTGATCCAGCCACGCACAGGAATCTAGTTCCCTAAAAGATGCTAGAGGGCTGTCATAGTTCATGATCACTATTTCCTTATCACGAATACTGGCAACGAAGCCACACATACAAGCACATGTGCTTGCACAATGTCATTATCAACCACTTCGAGCGGGGATGCAGTTGTTCGACGACCAGAGCCTTCGGCTGCGAAGAGCGTGGACCGCACAGCGACTGCCGAAGGAACGGCACCAACACCAAACATCGCATGCCCGAATTGGGGGACAGGGAAGCAACGGTTCAAACACCACACTTGCAGCCTCTGATTGGCGTCTAGTGAGGGAGGTGGCTCTGGAACGTTGGGATGGCGTTCGAGTCCGGCTGGGCGAGGCTTCCACTGCCCATGACGTCCATCAGGATGAGTTGTGCCCCGAACAGTTGCTTACGTCGATGCAGAATAGAGAGTGCTGCGAGCTGTTGGCTAAGAACGTCTGTCGAGAAGAGCGTTTTACACTGACACCATATTCGAATTGTAGTGACTTCAATGAGGCAGTCAGCTGCACTCTGCGAAAGTCCCTGTCGAAACCTTGTGTTCCTTGTCTTCCTGTCTGCTGCCTCGTTTGAACCCTCTGCGTCGAAGACAAGCCACCCTCAGACTCAGTGAAGGTCAGTTCTCAGCGCTGTTCGCTTTGGGACTGATGGCTTCTCTCACTGCGTAACCCACATGTTGTCCTCTTAGGGACGCTCTGTGGGCGCTGGCTGCAGGGGACCCCTCTTCGCATCCCGGACTCCGTAAAAACACATTCACCGGACTTCCAAATACAGTGACTGCATGTTTTGTAGCACGCACTGGGTGGTGTCTAAGTAAGAGTCTAAGTCTTCTGCATTCCTGCCCTCACTGTTCGCATACACTTCTGCCGACAGCACTTTTGAGTTCCGCAGTTTGTGTTCAATAGCTTGCCTATGGCCGCAACTGAAGCCTGTGGGATCTCGAGTGCAGCAGTGTGTGTGTGTGTGTGCGCGCGCGCTCGCGCGCGCGTGTGTGTGTGTGTGTGTGCGCTTGCGAGCTATCTACAGCAGCATGCGCGTGCCCTTGTTTCCGACGGTACGCGTGCTCCTGTGCCCGATGGCACGCCTGCCCCTGTGACCTCCATCTGGTGTGGTAGCTGAGTCTCCTCTCTCTCTCTATATATCCCCCTCTCTTTCCGAAACCCAAATTTTTTTTTGCGGTGATGACTCTTTGATGTCTTGCGATTGCAAACTGAGGTGGGGCTCGGTGAATTTCCTTTCTACCACATCATAGAGTAGCATGTTCTTAATGACTGACATGATATGTATCGGCGCATTATAATCACTGTTTGAGATTTATATTCAACCATGCCGCCCTGTGTATGAGCTATGAGCTTTAAGATGTATGTGCACCAGTCTTGCATAACTACGCACTTGTTCGCACTCAACCGCATGAGCCCAGTTTTTCGTTTGTTGTGATCCCCAATACCGATGGATTTAAAACGAGCAAATACGTGCGTGTATCGCCGGCATTCACCGGTGTCCGAGAGGTGGCTTATCAAAGTATTAAAGTGCACACAATGGCATGGTGCATGCCACATCGACAGCCCATTTAGCACCGTACCATACAGCCGTCATTCACAACACGACCGCCGTTCTTACACTCCACGCCACACACAAGAGGGCCACGCGGCTGCGGGCGAGCCAGGCAGCCTGGCTGCGGGGGCGCCTGGCGCTCGCTGCTCCAGCCGTCGGCGGTGCTGGCCGCTGGGCGCTGGCCGCTGGGCGCGCCGCCCGGACCGGGGGCACCTCCGGCCCGCGGCCGTCAGCAGCCCGCACACGTCACCAGTGCACGGCGCGGGCACGGCCGCAAACAAGGGTAACGGTCCGGCGACGGGCGACTGCTGCATGGGATGCGTCGCATTCGGTCCGTGCACGCTACCGGCGCGGAGCGCAGCCGAGTGTGCGGCTTCAGGCGGCGCTGCTGGGCCGGCAGCAGGGGCGGCAGCAGGGCCGGCAGCAGTGGCGGCGGACAGGGGTGGGGGGGGGGGAGGGGCAGGGGAGGGGCAGACGCTTCAACCGGGGCAATATCTAGCGCTACCTCTGTGGTCCAGCATGGAAGGGGAGAGTGAGAAAGCTGAAAGATCCAGCGCGACCGCCCTGGCGACGGCGGCCTGGCTCGGCTGAGCGGTGTGGTGTAGCACTATCACATTCCACCCTCACAGGGGCAGACCTTCCGGGAATCTCCTGCTTCGGAGCCGCTTATACCGTTAGCCGTTAGCGGCTGCGTGTTGTCCCCGTGGCGTAAACGTTGACGCGCCCCAGGCACGAGAGCCGGCGGCTTGATCGGCTGACACTTGTAGGGGGCAATCAGGGCCTGCGCGGCGGCGCAGACCCTCTGACCGCGCCGGTGCCGCTATCGCCGTTGCACTACTCGCACTCTTCCTGTTTACACAGGCCACGACATTTACGATATTATCTTACACCCGGGTAAAAAGCGTGTTGGCCCGCTATCTGCACCGCCCGGGTAGCCCGGTAAATATTTACTCGGTCGGCGGTGTCTGTTTTGGGTCGCGCGCTGACGGCCGGCGGTTAGTTCAGCGGCCTACGAGCGGGCCCCGCTGATGGTGTGTCGGCGCCGCTGCTGGTGGACCGCGGCCCGGCGCCCCGCCGGACCAGACCCGGTACCTGGCCGAGCCCTGCCCGGCAGGCGCCCCGCCCCGTCTCCAGCGGCCGGCGCGTGGTGATGCGTACGGCGCGCGCTGTTAGTGTTCGTCTCAGGCTGGGTGCGGCGTTCTCCCGCTTTCTACGGTCGTGACGGTGGAAAAGGGCGAGGGCCACTCGATAGACTCTTTATTGTACAAGCAACACAGTACATAGGCCTTTACACACGAACGATAGGTGGATCTGACTCTAGGCGTCTACCCCGCGCGACGCGGGTGACTATCCCACTCAATATCAACGGATCTGCACACCGATATAGCGTCTATCCGCCCAGCCTCTCGAAAACGCTCAACTCAACGCAAACGACAGTGACTGCCCACCAATCACGAAAGTCATAAATAAAAAACAGCTGGTTTGTGAAAGAGTCGCGCCGGTGTCGCCGGGGGTGAAGAGGCCAGGTCGGGTCAGGACGCGGCCACCTTACCTAGCGCGGCGGTCGGCCGGTCGGGCGGCGGCGGCGGAGTATTGCACTAGCGACCGGGCTCAGAGGCGTCGCTCGGCGGCCGGGTCGGGCGCCGCCGCCGGCTCCGAGTCGGAACTCCCGGGCGGCGTGCCGAGCGGGGAGCGAGCGGCCGAGCCGGCCGCGGCGCCGGCCGCCAGCGGGGCCGCCGCCGCCGTACAGGCCGGCTGGCGCCGCCAGCCGCGCCGGCAGCTTGCTGTACAGCTCGTACAGCGAGGAGGCGGCCGCCGGCGCGCCGGGCGGCAGCGCGAACGGCGCCGCCAGGTAGGGCGGCCGCTCGCCGGCCAGCGCCGGGTACAGCGCCGGGTACACGCCGCGATAGTAGAGCGCCGCCGCCGGCGGGTACAGCGGCGCCGGCAGCCGGCCGCCCGGGTACGCCGCCGCCGGGTACAGCGCGGGGAAGGGCAGCGAAGTCAGCCCGTGTCGGAACGCCACCAGACGGTTGCGCGCGGCCGTCGACGAGCGCCGACGCAGCTTCCCCGTCGTTGGCCCGATGACGACGTCGTCGGAGGACGGGTCCAGCATCCAGTAGTTGCCCTTGCCCGGGTCGTCGTAGTGTCGCGGGATCTTGACGAAGCACTTGTTGAGGCTGAGGTTGTGCCGGATCGAGTTTTGCCAGCCCTGTCGGTTCTCGCGGTAGTAGGGGAAGTTCTTGAGGATGTACTCGTAGATGCCGCTGAGTGTGAGCCGCTTCTGTGGGTGGCTCCGGATTGCCATCATGATGAGCGCGTTGTAGCTGTACGGCGGCTTCTCGAACTTCTTCTTGTCGGCCTTGTCGTCGGCCTTGTCGTCGCCCTTGGCGTCGGCCTTCTCGTCGGCCGGCTCGGCGTCGAAGAGCTTCTCCTCGGCCTCGCGCGAGTTGTCGGCGTCCTCGTCGGTGCCGATGACGTCGACGTCGCTCTCCAGGATGCCGTCGTCGGAGACGGCGTCCGCCTCGGGCGCCGGCAGCGGCACCCGCTGCTTGAACGGGTCGTTGAGCAGCGAGTCGATGCTGAAGGACGATTTCAGGGGGGCCGGGTTCATCTCTACAGCTGAGCAAACCATGGTGTCATCGGCGACGACGCGCGCAGCAGGGCAGCCGGTCCGCGGGCGACACTGGCCGCTCACAGTCGTGTCCGTCCGTCACTTCACCGGGCGTCGGGCGGGCGGCGGGGCGGGCGCGCGACAGCGGAGCGTGGCGGCGTCCTCACCCGACACGGCGCGCCGCTGCAGTGAGCGTGGCCCGGGCGGTGGCCGACGGCCGAGCCGCGCCGCGCCCACCGCCCGCCCGCCAATCAGCGCCCGCCGCCGTGCGCAAGCTCCGCCCCTCGCCGAGGGGCGGAGCCTCCGGGCTCGGCGACCGGCGCGCGGCGGAGAGGGCGGAAAATCGCTCTCTCGGGACGGCGCGCTTTCGCAACGCTGCAGAAATATTGGCGGCTCGGCTGGCGGCGCAAAGCTGATGTCTCATTCCGGCCGTGTGCTGAGAAACGACGCCGGTAAATCACGCAACACTTATGCCTTGGCGGCGCCGGCCAATGGCAAACAGAGATGCGGCGCGAATTTATCGCGCCATAATTAAACTCATTTGCTGGCCAGCATCGAGCACCAAAGTGGACTTTAATGATCCATAAAGTGGGATCGGCCGCTCAACAGGGTCGGGGCGCGCCAGAGGCCCGGTCAACTTTACGAGCGGGGCTCTGCGAAGCGCGCTCGCCGCCTTTTCATCTGGTCATCCGGGGCCCCGGGGAACGCCGGGCGCGCACCGCGAACGACGCCAAATGAGTCCTCTGGCGCCGCCGGCCGACTCATTGTTCCAATCACATTCATTCAGACAATTGGAGGGATTGTCTGCTGGAAACGAAACCATTTCCTCTTTAGGCGGCGCAGCACGCCACTGCGGGCGGCGGCGCGGGCCGGGTCTGCCAGCTCCGCTCCAGGGCACTTGGGCGCCGCGCTCTGCGGACGCGCGGCGCGAGGGCAGGGGCGGACGCCTCACAGCTTTCAGCCGAGTCAGAGGAAGTATCGGCGCTTCAGGAGAGAGGTCGTCATGTATTGCTCATCCGATGTGGTTCGCAGGTTTTCATTAAAGGGAGTGTTCCACATTTGCACGGGGTTTTGGACTAAACTAGCCACATTGGAGACCCCTCGGTGCTGTTCACAACCCTGCCCATCTTCAGGCTTATGCCCATCTAGTTTCTGGGCTACACGACCGCGAAAAGGAAGAGGGTATTTTGGGTAGAGTATTTTAAAGTCACTTTGTCGTTCATGTCGCTACAATAACGTCATTTGAATTCTGCAATGCCAAAAGTCATGCGGCGATCAAGGCCGACAAAGATAACTGTTGTAGCGTCCACGTTTGGCGTTCGTGAGCACGATTTCCGGACGTAATGGCGGCCGATTGGCTCTCAATCGATGTTGTGCATGGTTTCCATGATGTAATCAAACCATGACGGATTGAGATACTTACTGCACAGAGAATTGTGCCGCCCAGAGCAGTCTTTTTCACTTAAAAATATACCAATGGTCATAAGCAATCTTTTTCATCATCTTTGATTCTCACTTTAACATCTTCAACCGTGAAGCATTCCCTTTAAACGATCCTGTTTCCGTGTCCTCCCTCTGCCGGACGACTTGGACGGCCGCCATATCCGTCCGCTGGTGCTATGGGCCCGTCCACTCTAACCCAATTGGTTATGGTGGGTTTGTGGTGCACGCCATGAATGGAGCTTTTCCATCCCCTTCGAAGAATTGTTCCCGGCATGTTTGTTCGCCACAATGTCAGGCATAAATTATGTGAGAAGTTGTTGAAAGGCACATAGCGGGACAACAGAAACATGGAGAGTCTAGTCTTCAACACTCCAACGAACTTGGGGATATACAATCAGCGGTTCACCGTTCAGGATCATCGCACGAACCACGCATAGATGTAATACATTTTGTTTTGTTTTGCGTGCCGTTTGGCTCGCAGAATACAATAATTGCAGTGAGGTTTTTGTAGCAAGTAAATTAAAAGGAGTTAGAACTTGCAGTGGTTAGTGAATCAGAGTAAAGAACAGACCTGAAGTGGGCAGATTGATTTATCGTTAAGAATTCAGGGGCATTTGAAGCCCTCTCAAGGTCAAGGGGCAGATAGCCAGTTTTGGTTATGTCTTCCCAACCAGTGCCCACAGGGTCGCTTTTCAATTTTCAGGAAGTTTCAGTGTTCTTCCCCCCTTTAGTTGTCGCGTCCCGTATGTGGTGCTGTAGCCTGGCAATAGATCGCGTTTGTCTTGAATTAAAGTAAAAGCATCATCATAATCTTCGCCACAACTCTGGCTGCGGTACGTGCACAACCATTCCCACAAGTTTTAATACAGGGAATTTTCCACGTTTGAAGATGTTACAAGCATTAGGTATAATCAAATAAGCTCACTTAGGAACTCTTGGTATACTTTTAAGCGGAAAAGACTGCTCCAGACCACACAGTTTCTCTATCTAGAAAATGCGCTTCTCAATACGTCATTGCCTGATTACGTCGTCATACATTGCATAACATTGAGTGGGAGCTAATTGAAGACCGTTACATCAGGAAATGGTACTCGCATACGCCAGACTTGAACGACTTGACAGCTATATTTGTGTTGGCCTTGACCATCGCATGACCAATAGAATGACAGGATTTAAATGACGTCATTATGGTGTCATGGACGCCTTCGTGACCTTGAAGCCTCCCCTAAAAGTCTGCATATCTCTGCGGGCATGTGGCTCAGAATCTAGAAGAGTTCAGGCCTTAAGAAGGGAAGCGTCGTGAACAGCACCGAAAGATCTCTGAGATGGCCATTCCAGTTCAAAACCCCGCACAAATGAGGAGCACTCCCTTTAAGATGCCCCGCCAGTCCCCGATGGCTTTCGGTTGAGCCCTCGGGCGGTTCCCCAGCAAGAGTGTTGCAGGAGTTTGGGTGCGGGTCGTGCGGGTCTATCACGATGGGGACTATGCCTATACTGTGTCAGACGTGTCGTGTCGCACGACACATGAGATCGTCGTGCCGTGTCGAGCGACACATGAGATCGTCGTGCAGTGTCGAGTGACACATGAGATCGTCGTGCAGTGTCGAGCGACACATGAGATCGTCGTGTCGTGGCGAGTGACACATGGGATCGTCGTGTCGTGTCGCACGGCACAAGAGACCGTCGTGTCGTGTCGAGTGACACATGAGATCGTCGTGTCGTGTCGCACGGCACATGAGATGGTCGTGCCGTGTCGAGCGACACATGAAATCGTCGTGTCGTGTCGCACGGCACATGAGATCGTCGTGTCGTGTCGAGCGACACATGATATCGTCGTGTCGTGTCGCACGGCACATGAGATCGTCGTGCCGTGTCGCACGGCACATGAGATCGTCGTGCCGTGTCGAGCGACACATGAAATCGTCGTGTCGTGTCGAGTGACACACGCGAAGGCGGGGCTGGCACAGCTCCGAACCCGGCTGATGGTGTCCCGCGGGAGTCCTGTTACCTGTTACTCCCGTACCTCGGGAGCCCTGTTCTGCTTCGTTCACCAACCAGATGGGGCCTGACCTCATGCCTTGCAATCACCGCCGTCTCCAGGCCTTGCGTGAGGAGCCATGTCGTGCTCACGTGACACTGCCTGACCGCAAGCCTCACAGTCATCGCCGTCTCCAGGTCACGTGTGAGGAGCCACGTCGTGCTCACGTCATCAATACAAGTCGTGAAATTCGTGCGAACAGACTAACAGACCCTGCAAACGCCAATAGTACCTAGCGATCGATGAGCCGTCGATAAGGACTGTCCCAAAAGTGAAAGAGGCAGATATTTTTCAAAATTTTTCGTCCGTCGCACACATCAGATTGGTGTTCAGAAGTATGGCGGCGTCCATCCTGTCGTCAATCATTCTAACTCCATGTTGCTTCCGAAATACAAATCCTCTAACTGTTCAAATCGCTTCGTCGTTAGATCAGCGGGATGTTCTTTTTCTTTGCTCTGCAGCTCACGGAGCTGAAAAAGGGACGTTATCGCAGCATCGCAGAAGAGAAAGCATTTTCCAGCCCTGTGCTTTTGCAGGCGATGGATCGTAAATGTCATTATTTTTGCCAGGCGAACCCTGAGAGCGTGACAAAACGTTTAGATTTTAATAGCTTTCCGAAAAGAGACATCTTCATTTGGCTGGCAGAAGTCCATGATCTGAGCTTATCACATAAATTTTCTGTTCCTCATCGTCTGCAGCTTGACACGCTGTTTGCCGCGCTTTGATAACACAGTAGTCAAAACATTTAAAGGCAAACTTTTTTACAACACTTTTAGCCTGTGAAAATTACAGTATATCCTAATGATAACTAGGGATGTGGTTTGTCTGCGAAAATTCACTCATAGGCGATTCGTGCTCGGAAATCAATTGAATGCGCACATAAAAATGTGGTTTACGAAAGCAATTGTAAAATGTGTGAATAAAGCGGGAAAATAACATGATCTTTACCCGTGGTTCGTGCACCCTAATTGTTTAAGATTTGATGCGTGTATGCGTGGCGCTAACAACCAGACAGAGAAGACCTTTTCGGCGGTCATGTGTTGACCCAGCGCACACAGGCTGAAATTTAAGCATTTCAAGGCCTGTTGCATCTCAAAATAATGTATACAGTACTGGACCATCGCGGAAGAAAAAACCACCAAATCTTTTCAAGAAGTCGGCGAGCCGACCTGAACGAGCAGGGCTAATCAAAGCCGATCATGCGGGTATCATTAGAGCATTGGTATGAGAGTTAGGTTAACGTGGTATTGTGTTTGCATGTACACATATTTTCAGCCATCTCACCCCTAGCCAGACAGCCTGAATTAAGGAGCCACCATATGAACTTATGACTGGCAATAAATACCTGTTTAATCCCCGGAATGCCGGGATCTGTTAAATATTCTGGCGCGCTGTTTCAAAAGGTAAACATCTTCAAACAGGGGTCGTAGGCTGACGGGATTCACTACTCGTCTATTTATTGTACCATTCCGACAAAGGCGTATGGCTGAAATGCGGGCTCGATATGCTCGTCTAGCAGGTGGTTTTTAAACATGATGGCTTTACTATAAAAATGTGCAACAACCCCAAAGGAGTTTCTGCTTTGCTAGTCCAAATGTCCAAATAGGGTGCTCTCTGAAAATCAAACTCATTTTGTGAATCGAATTAGTTGATTTTTATCTGTATGTATTTTTAGCCATATTTGAGATGTTT